TAAGAGTCGATTTAGCAAAGTTTTATCAACTCGAGTATTTTATCTAGGGAGGTATACATGTTATTAATGAAAAGAAAGATAAATCTATGTGGTTATACATAAATTTTGATAGTTAAATAAGAATTTTTAAGAAAAGAACTTGTTTGCCAAAATATTCAAATGTGAAATTCTGGTTAACAGAGATAACTTTCATTTTCCAGGTTGTTTTAGTATAAGGTATAAGAGTAGATTCTAAGAGAAACTCATGTTGTAGTAAATAGAAATTTCCTTGGTTACTATCTAAAGTTAGTGAAGAAGTTTTCAACTTTAGCTTTGCTACTAAGAAATTTTTAAGGAAATATATGTCTATTTGGGAGCATGAAAAAGGGTTAAGAGAGTTTTAAAATACTAAAGAGGATTGTAACAGGAATACCAACATTTATACAACTTGAGTTGGGTAAAGATTATGTAGTTTTTTCTAAGGCATATATCAACGATTTAGGAAGTGTGCTTATGCACAAAGGTAAAGTTGTGACAGATGCCTCAATAAAGTTAAAGACTAACAATAGTTAAAGATTTGATGTCATTGCTTGTATAGTGAGTGATGTTATAGTGGTGCAAATTACAAAAGTCTTATGTTGATTTAAAGAGAAAAGTAGTTGAGTGGAAAGAAAGTGATAAAGTTTTCCTGAAAGTATTGTTTTGAAAGGAAATATTGTGGTTTGGACGTAGTTCTAGAATTAGTGAACCTTAATAGATTTTATCAGTTAGCTTTTGTCTCTTGAAATGGACAAGACCTATAATGTTTTCATGCGTCATTTCTTATTAATGAACAATAGAATCCATTACATGTTCTTACTTAGGGAAATGGGGATTTGATTAAAGTTGAATTATGGAAAAGAACCAATACAGATTTGGACTAGAGAAATTCAGGAAACGAGTAACAAAACAATTTTCTTTAGTTGAAGTACTGTGGTAAGAGCATAAAGTTTTAAAATTCGAGTATGAATTTTCTTAAGGATGGGAGAATTGTAATACCCCAAATTTTGAATTAAGGACTTTATTGAAAGAATTTAAAAATTTAGAGGATTATTAGACTAAATGATATATATGAAAATGATTTGGATTAGTGATATAGACTAAATTGTAACAAGGGATGGTTTAGAGGGTATTTTAGTCCTTTAAAGAAAAATGAATTTAAAATTCTTATTTTATAAAATATAAAAGGTAAGGGAAAAAGGGGAAAGTGAATATCAACCAAAAGCTCTTTCCTCTTCTTCTTCCTTCACCTGATAAGCTTCCTCTATAGCTCCCAAAGGTAAGTTTCAATTGATTAGTTTTTCTGGTTGATTATGGGTTTCTTTTACAACCTTAAGTAATATAGAAGCTTAAGGATGTTATAAAATGAGTTTTAAATGAGATGTTAATATAGGAGTGTTTATGGATGTTTATTGGTAAATTTGACTTGTTAAAGCGGTATATAAGAGATTAGAAGCATTGGATTGGATTGATAAAACATTAGGAAAATGGTTTGACTTTTAGAATATATTGTTCTTGGAAGATTTTAGATGTTTTAATAGACTAATTGAAGGAATGTTAGTATAGATAGTTAAGGAAGAGTTTAATAGTATTGAATGGGGTAAATATAAAGAAATTTGACCCCATTTGGGTGATTTTTGAGCTGAAACCTAGAAAATATGGACAGGGGTATAAGTACCCCATAGAACAGTACCGATACCCTAGGCAAGAATAAGCTAAATTATATAAGAGGTATCGATATTGATTTAACCAGTATCGGTGCCCAAGCAATTGGGTACAATACCATGGTAAGAGTATCGATACCAGTAAAAATATCGAATCTAAATTGGGTATCGATACCTAGAGGGGGTATCGGTACCATAACATAGGGGTATCGATACCATCGTAAGGGTATCGATATTAGGCCATATCAAAGCTAATTTGGTATTGATACATTAAGGGGGGTATCGATACCCTAATAGGGTAGTATCGATACCATAGAAGGGGTATCGATACCGAAGGACCATAAATATTTAAGTTGGGGCTGATAATGTGGTAGAAAGTTAATAATAAATATTTTGATTAATATTAAGTTATAATTGTTAGGAAACGTACTAACAATTGATATTATGCACGTCTTTAATGAATGTGGAATAGATCGAAAACAAGTTACTGGGTTGTGTAAATCGAAAGGCAAGGGCCAAGTTCCAGAGTAATTATATTCTCAATTTGGATATATAAGCAAGGCGTGTCATGTGAGTACATTTAAATATGTACGTATATGTTACGTTAGACCTATTTGTATGACTTATTAATGTAAATTGGTGATTTCCAAAGGGCACTAAGTGTGCAAAATATAAGAAATCATACTAAGTGTATGAATTTCAGTTAGGGCGTTTCGTACACTAAAATGTTAATAAATCATACTAAGTGTATGAATTTCAGATAGGGCATTTCGAACGCTAAAATGTTAAGAAATCATACTAAGTGTATGAATTTCAGATAGGGCGTTTCGCACGCTAAAATTTTAAGAAATCATACTAAGTGTGTGAATTTCAGATAGGGTGTTTCGTACGGTAGAAGTTAAGAAATCATACTAAGTGTATGAATTTTAGATCGGGCGTTTCGTACACTAAAATGTTAAGAAATCATATTAAGTGTACGAAATTCAGATATGGTGTTTCATACGCTAAAATGTTAAGAAATCATACTAAGTGTATGAATTTCAGATAGGACGTTTCGTACGCTAAAATGATAAGAAATCATACTAAGTGTATGAAATTCAGATAGGGCATTTTGTACGATAAAATGTTAAGAAATCATACTAAGTGTATGAATTTCAGATAGGGTTAAGTACCGTTAGTGAACGGTTAAGTACCGTTGAGTAAAAGAATAATGGTCTATCTTTGCAATTGGCAGAAATGTGTCAATTATGCCAGTTAGATAAAGGGTTAAACACTGTTGAGTAGGAGAATAAAGGAATTTTAATGTATTTTGATATGTGGGACATAAGCGATATGAATGGATTATATATATAATGTATAACCAGGCATATTGGTATGGAAGAATGTCATAAATGAAATGTATAATAGGAAGGTATAAAAGCCTGAAAGGATATCATAGTGGGAATGGTTTAATGGTGTTTTTTAAGCATGATGGGATGCTATCAATGAAAATAAAGGTTTAGGACTAAAGAGATAAATGGTTAAGAAAAAAATATAAAGGAAGATAAGTATGCTAGGCATACTAAAAATACTTAAGATAATTGTGAATGGAATACAGTTTAGATGACGAGGATCATAGAATTCTTAAGGAATATACGATTTAGTACAAATTAAATAAAAAGAATATAATTATGTATACAGAAAGGTTATTTTATAATATTACGTCTCACTAAGTAAATACTTATAGTGTGTTGTTTCCACGTGTAGGTAAAAACGAAGATAAATTGACTAAGGAGTGCATCAATATCAGTGGGTATCATTAGTTAAGGTTGACTCTCATAAATAACGCTAGGATAATCTTATTCAATTTAAGAACTTAGTTAGCATGTAATTTAACTATGATAAATATTTTGTAACGTAATTAAGTGAAGATTTGAGTATGTTGCTTTCAAAAATATTCTATTTTGTGGTTAATCAAATTGAAACAAAATTTAACGGGTTTTCAAATGACAAATCTTTTTATTAAAGTGATGTGACATCCATATCTCGTGTACGGAAGGGTATACGTGAGATGGGTGTTACACCAACCTCGAGTGTCGATACTCAAGGCGTTTGAGAAACATTTATTGCGAAATTTTTTATCCCAACAGCTCTATTAACTCTCAAAATAACCCAAATGACTAGAATTGATTGAAGGAGTATAAAAACAAGATTCTAAGTCATATGTGAAGACAAGAGATCAAAGAGATAGCCAAAGCAATCACATTGAGCCAAAATCAAAGTCAATATTCTTCAATATTCTTTTTGCTTTCAAAGAACACTTTTGTACTCATTTGTTTTATTTTTAAGTTTTCTTATTTGTTCTTGAATTGTGGAAACAATTTCCTTTTGAGGTTTTTCTATGTTTGCAAATTTGTAATGTTCTCTTTGAGAGTGTGTATCAAGAATTTGTGGTATAATTCTTGAGAGAGTTGTAAGGTTACACCCTGTCCTCAAAGGTTGATACAAATTAGTGAATTTGTGAAAAATCCTTATTGTGGATAGCTAAGGTAGTGGATGTAGAGGCTTTGGCTTAGAAAGTCGAATCACTCTAAAATTCTTGTGTATAATTCTTCATTTTTCGCTTAAGCTTCCACCAAAGTTTTCTTTTTTTATACCCCCTCTTGGCTATTTCATTCTCTTGATTGATTCATCAAAGTTACAAAATGGTCACTCAACTATTCATATCTTCTAAACTCGTCATTTTATAATTAAAAAAGCAATCATCAAAAGTGAACGTTAACGTGCTTACTGAGATATAATAGTATTTTAAGATTCTGGGATCATATTTTATCCTAACTCAGTCAACATGTTAACGTCCAACTCAGAGTATAATAAAGTTTTTAACAGGAAAATATGGTTTTGAAATATATAAATAATCAAGTGATCATTTTATAACTTTTAATAATCGGAAGATTGAACAAAAAAATTGACTATTTTATATTTTTTAATAGTAAAAAAATTTTACAAAACATCATCCTATATTCGAAAGACCATTTGTATATTTTACCCTAAAAATATCCACTCGCTCGGAAGTTTGAAATGTCATTCACACTGAAAGCAACACAAGAGCTGAAATAGTATATGACATTGGCATTCGGCATTGATCACACGAAAAAGGAAAGGTATAATATTTTACTTACAACTTAAGATTAAAACGGAGGTAAGAAATACACGTGTCCTTGTCAGCTGCCGCGTGTTATCTCCTTTTAGTTATAAATAAATCTAAAATCCTTACAAAGATTTGTATTCCGACACTAAAAGCCTATCTTCTCCGTCTCTAACCGTAAGAGTACATCTCTCGTCAACTTGTATTATCTTCTCCATATTTTTTCCACAGGTTGAGAAAAAAGAACATGGGAAAAGACAAAGACAAGCATAGGCCTGATCATGATGATAAGGGTCTCTTTTCAAACCTTGCTCATGGTTATGGTCATGGAGGATACCCTCCTCCCGGAGGATATCCCCCTCAAGGCTATCCACCAGCTGGTAATCCTGGCGCATCCCATTCAGGTAAACTTCCAAGATTGTCAGATCTCAGATGCCAATAATTTGGTTTTCATTTTGTTCGAGTTTCTACTTTTATTTTATTTCTGTCTGCAGGGCACAGTGGCTTAGGGGGGATGATTGCCAGCGGTGCTGCAGCTGCATCGGGGGCTCACCACATGGCCCATGGTTCTCATGGTGCTTACGGTGGTCATGGTGGAGGCCATTTTGCACATCACGGGAAGTTCAAACATCATGGTGGGAAATTCAAGCACGGTAAGCATGAGAAGTTTAAGCACGGGAAGCATGGAGGAGGCATATTCAAGAAGTTGAAGTGATTTACTATCAACTAACATAACATCAATTTCAACTGGTTTTATAAATAATTACAGACCCTTTCAACTGGTTGAACTCAGTTACGTGATATCTATTATGAAGCGCAACTACAAATCCTAACTATATATGTATTTATACTTTTAATTAGCTAGACTTGCTCCAATTGTCATCGTGTAAATTTTTTTTGTGGTTCGATGTTGAGTCTTTAAAAAATTCTTAACATGGCTGGTTAGAGTAGTGATTAGAGTAGTCGTTTGGATTTGATACCACACAATACTTATAAATGCTGAAATGCGTCTTCACGGAGATTATGATGAAATTCGGTTACGTGGGAATGATGAAGTACTCATGTGATATCCAAAAATTAATATCTTTAAAGATTGTCTTATTTAGGAAGAAAAATATGTTTTAATACCGTAAAAAAAGGGAAAAAGTTAATAAAAGTAGAAATACTTAATTATAATAATAATAATGTAAATAAAAATGATAGAAATATTAATAAAATTAAAAGTAAAAATGATGCAAATATATCTTTAATAAAATGAACCTACAAAAATAAAATAAGATATGTAAGTCGAAATAAAAAATATATTAATGAAATAATAAATTAATTTAAATAGTTTTTAAATAAATAGATATGAAAGATAAAATGATATATGCATGTCGATGGACTAATTTGCTAAAGAAAAGGAAAAAGATTTAATGGATTAAAAATAAAAAGAGGACAAAAGGATTAAACTAAAATAAAAGTGCAATTCTAAGGACCAAAACGTAATGTTCTCCGAGATACAAAACACGTTGTCTGGCGCTCTGGGTCACACTAGGCGCGAGTGTTGGATCCCATGATAAAAACAATGTCGTTCCGGTACTGTTATAAAATATTAATTTCATTATTTTTCTTAATTTTTTCTTTTTCTTTTTACAACAACAACAAAATCTTATTTCCATAAGCAATTTGGTAAGGGTTAAGGGGTGATAGGGTAAGAGGCTAATCCCAACGTCAGGTTGGGAGCAGCTTCCGTGGAAGACCTCCGGCAGTCAGAAAATTAAAAATAAAGATAAAATACAATGCATGTATAAATAAATAAATAAATACATAGTTAAACAACCTTCATATACAGTCTACATATGCGTATCTATAATGAGAAATAATCCTTGCGGAAAAATTTTAGCATATAGATAGAAACGTAAATCAGGGCTAAATTTAAAAAGAGAAAACATGAAAGAGAATGATACTTTGTCAGCTAGATATCATCGATCTTTACCATCGCCGATCATCATCTTCGGCGGGTAATGATCACCGAAATATATCAGAAGCATCATCTTTGTCTCTTGGTTTTGATTTTGAGGATAGTTTTGTCAAGAAATGCCATATTACTCATTCAACTTTATCCTCGTCGTTCTTCATCGTTGGTCATTGAATCTCTACCATTTTAGAATATGTGGTTCTCCTTGTCATTGCGTAGCCTTCCACAGTACAGATTCCGAAACAAAGCCCCCGAATTCTATATCACTCTTCGTTTGTGAGGAGAGTGCCTCTCCTCATTTTTCTTCCTCTACTTAGTCTTTCATCTGAATTTTCGCCTTCACTTTTACAAGTTCGAATTCAGATACTTTTGGGCTCCAGATTTTGGTCTTTGATGCTAGAATATTTTGGATTTGGCTTGAGAGATGGGAAAGGAGGTGATCGACTGACTGGTAGATGGTTAAGGGATCGAGTTGTGCCATTTGATGATGATTAGGAAGTGAAGGATAAGGTTTTACATAGAATTAAGAGAAAATGGTAAATGACCAGGTTAACTGGATTGGTTTCAGATTTGAACCTGGATCCAAATTTTGGCTTAAATAAATTTTAGGTGTTGGTTTCTAGGTTCGGGTAAGATTGGGCCTGATATTGGGGATTTGGGTTTGGACAAAATTAGTGTTTATAGTTGTTACTCTCTTCTCATTGTTGAGAAATATGAATAGAACGAAGACTAAAAGATACAATTTTATCCGGATGACTTGGAATTTTGAATAATTTACCCCACTCCTCTATAACAAAGGATGCTAAATCTACTCTCCTACTCCATAAAAAAGGAATTCTAGAGCTTGATCAATAGTAGAAATTTGTTTCACTTAATCACAATAAAGTATATTGTGGCTCATTCCCATTTCATTATCCCTCTATAACAAAGGAATTTTAGAGCTTGCTCGGTCTTAGAAATTTACTCCACTCCTACAAAACAAAGGATGTTGAGGCTTGGTCATGATTTTCTCTACTCCTCCAAAACAAAGGAATGTTAGAGCTCGCTCATAGTTTTTTCTACTCCTCCATAACAAAGGAATGTTAGAGCTAGTTCGGTTATAGAAATTTGCTCCATTGCTCCATTGCTCCATAAGATAGGAGTTGGTGATTGCTTATGATTTACTCTACTCCTCCATAATAAAGGAAATCTAGAGCTTGTTTAGTCATAGAAGTTTACTCCACTCCATAATAACATAGGATGTTGGTGCTTGCTCATGATTTGCTCTACTCCTCCAAAACAAAGGATGTTACAGCTCACTCATAATTTGCTCTACTCGTCCATAATAAATGAATGTTGGTTACACCCATTGAATGATGTTGAAGGAGAGCATCATTTGATAGTAGGAAGTAGGAAGACATGCAAGTGTACCTGTAAGTAAGATAGGCTAAAAAAGGGTATGGGTAGTAGATGTAAGGGTGTTTAGGTGGACTTAGAAAACATGTAAGAAAAAAGTGAAATATAAGATAAATGTGGTTTTTTTAATGATAGTATAGGCCTGGTGATGGTTAAGTTGAAGAAATGATAATGAATGATTGGTAGTAAGAACAATAAAAAGGAAGAAACTATGTTATATTAAAGCACAACCCCAAACCTTATATGTTTTATGTTTAGGTGGTAATAAGGACTTAGACCCTTTAGTTATAAAACAACTAAGAACCATAAGTATCAAGGTGGAAGATAGAAAGGGGTGACGCCATAAGTAGAGGTACTCGATTAGTTGATATGGTTCAATGAAGAACTTGAGAAGATAAAATTATCAAAAAGTAAGTTTAATTAAAAGATATGAGATGCCTTATAAGTGCCAAGGCATTGGCTTTATATAGGTTACAAAGGGGTATTTTAAAAAATCTTTGTATCTATTCGATTAAGGATGGAGACCCTTTGAACACGATTTAATTTTGAATACAAACGAATCATCATGGCAGAATATCTTGGTGATCATTCGACTAAGCCTTCTCTTTGAACGCACATGTCATTGGGTAAAAGGTATGGCGTTGGTTCGGTTATATATGTGCCAAAGTGAATGTATAGCATGCTTGACCAAATGCTTCTGATGGTTCAGTCATGTAGGCACCAAGAGTGAATTTTTATGTCCTTGGTGGAATGCACGTGACTCATCCTTGGTCTTGGTGCTGTGATGAAAGCACATGGTGCATAATGAAGGTAAATGACACTTGGTGAAGGCACATGGTGCTTGGTGACAAGGTAGGTCCTTTCTAGCTCCTTTAGCTTGAACCTCTTCTCACTTGTAGCTAGTTTCACTCCACTAGTAAGCTATCTAGCCTTTAGATCCCTTCTAATTGGTTTAATATCCAATGCCTAGCTTGAGCTACATAACAACAATTAAGTCATCTCCCTTAACTTGAGTTTGAGCTCCCTTCACGCTAATTGAGTTGCTATCCATTATTAATGAGTTGCATAACTTTAATTCCTTATCATTTCACCTAAATAAGAAAAGGTAAGGTAAGTAAGTAGTGATACAATATAAATGTAGCTAATAACATACGATAAGCATGAATGCAAATGCAATCTAACTTATATGCAAAGATGAATAAGATAATGTATACATGAAATAACTTAGCATAAACATGGATATAAACACTTGGATCACGTAACATATATGGAAATCATGTAATATGTAAAGCATAAGGACTAATGTATAAAAACATATATCCTAACATAATATGCATAATACAATGTATGTTTAAAGCATGAATATGAATGATATGGAAAGCATAATGTTCAAAGCATAATAAGACATGATAATTAATGAAGCATTACATGTAAGTATGTAAATTAAAAGGATAAAAAAGATATGTAAAGATAGTAAAAGCTCCCTCCACTTTCATCCTTATGAATAAAGATGACAGAGCAATGGTGAGTAGTTGCGTGAGTAAGATCACATCACCCTTATTCTTTTTGGTGATTGGTCCTCAAATCGAAGTTGTTTTTAATGAAACTTCTTTATTATTGGCTTTGTTGAATCCATACTTTTCTCTTTCAATGGAATGCTCAATTCATCTGATTCAACTTGAAAGACATTAGAAATAAACTCTTCAGGTTATTTGTTAGAAAAAAGTATATTGATCATAGGTCATGGCAACAGACACTTCTTAATCATCTACTTGCTTGAAATGACACTTATCTTTTGTGATCCAGTTTTGTGTTGATTGGCAATGTCACATTCATTGGGTTGTCTTTTTGGATTCACCTTCATGTTTGTAGGTAATATCACGATCTTTCCTCACGCCTTCAACACTTTTCTTTTTTACTTGTTTCATAGTTAAAGGTGTTAAAACGATCTTCTTTCCTTCATACTTGAATGAGTGACGATTGGAGTAGCAATCATGGATGGTCTTCTTGTCATATTTCCAAGGCCTTCCAAGAAATAAATGGATTTCATGCATAAACACCACATCTCACAAGACTTCATCTTTGTACCATCCAATTGAAAATGGAATAAATGCTTGCCTTTTCACGTTCAAATCTCATCCATTGTTCAACCATTAAAGTTTTTAAGTTTGCATTCTTCTTAGTCTTCAAACCCAACTTCTTGATCTTAATGGTGCTTGTTGCATTGGTGCATCTTTCTCCATTAATGGTCAAGAAACATACCTTCCATTAATATTGTTCCTCGTATGAAATATTTTCTCTCGTTGTTACTCTTCATGGCCATTTGAGTGTTCAGAAGCCTTTTGACAACAAGTAATTCACCAACAAAAATAACCTCTATCTCTTCTAATTCTTATTCTTCTTCAATATCCTCCTT